TGCAAAGTTCTCTTGTGCTTTTACTCTAGGATTTCAAGCATAGACTATGTCTATGTTCTTTGCCAGCTCGGCAGAATAATGACTGCCAGTTATTTTTAATCTCAGAGGCAGAAGCGTAACCTTTTGATGCCATTTCATGTGGTGAAAGAGCAGTTGTTCCCTCAGGATAGAGTGACTAGAAGCCAACAATTAATGTGAAAAAACTGAAACAGAAAAAAATGTGCTGCCATTATCAGTTTTCAAAAATACCACATTATGCCATCATACAAATAATATTGTGGTTACATTGTAAATCATGATCTAATAATTTTGGGAAAAGATAGGTTTGCATCATGTTATAATGATATTTCCTCATCAGAAACATACCTAGAGTGTTTACTTCAAATTTTTTATGCATGTTTGAGAAATCTTTAAACCTCCCTTGGTATACATTCAAAACACATAACTCTTTGAACACTTTTAGTGACATGATGCAGTGCAGATTGAGGTGTGTTTCACTGAAGCTGAGAATTAATGTGTTAACCTGTATATAGTGTATATATTTGCCTAATGGGAAATATATACAATACCGGTAAACAGCCATAACAGCATTAGGTATTGATTGGCCTTAAATTTTCATATTGTACATTTATAAATTACACACAGGTGGAGTCTGTGTACAATTATATTAAACTGTGTTTATGTGATGGAAAATAAAACATGGTTAAAAATAGCTTTCACACACTATCATAGAGTGCATCTATAACATTTCTGAGGAAATTGCAAGCTTTTCCCATCAAGCACTCATGAAGTATTTATGCATTCCAGTTTGAGTGGTGCGCTCCAGGCTCCTGGTGGGAGTGGATTCCCTGGCTTGCTCTCCTTCCCTCCGGTACCAGGCTTCCCTCCTTCTGCCTCTGCTGCTGCTCTTAGCGGCCTCCACAACCCATCAATGCCGTCTGCTCTACTTCAGGCATGTTCCATAAAAACAGTATGCTGTGATCAAAAGTATTTGACTTTCATTTTAATAGACTGTTATAAAAACTCAGCTACTTTCTTGTGTTTCAGGCTCATCCTACATCTGCACTAGAGAACTTTCCTCCTCAACCCAACTACCATCCTGGTCCTGGAAACCCCTTCCCTCTCCAACCAGGACTACACCCCCAATTGGGCTGGCAGTGAAACATGCAGTTCGATACATTCAAACGTAGACCCTGAACCCGATGCTTTGCCCCTCCCTGTCCTCTTTGGAGGTAATGTGTCACTGGCCATGAACCCTCAGGACTTCAAAACAGCACTGTTGCATTTCTGTGTGTGTTACAGAAGAAGCGTCTAAATTGAAGAAACACTAGTCTGGATATGTATGGCATACTTGTAATAACTAGTAGGTAGGAGTTGTAAATATCAGCAATGAAGTTGTGAGGTTTAACACATAGATTGTGACTAGTTGAAACAATAGCTTTGACTTGCCTGATTTTAATAATTATTATGAACATTTATTACAGAATTATGCAAAATATGACAAATGTAAAATTATTGCTATCATGATGAACTGTTTTACATGATTCAGCAGGAAAGTGAACAGACATAAATTCTGTCGTTTGCCTGTTATTACAATGTGAACTTACCACTGACCTGCTGCTTATGAAATGGATTTTTAGGGGAATAATTATGATGTTTGCGCAGTTTTGGTCAGTGTAATGTCCAAGGTCTTTCTGATCAGGAAAGAATGTGTTTGTGTGATATAAAATATCCCAGGCCTGAAAAGTCGGGAAGAGATATGAAATAACATTTGCAACTAAGTATTGAAATGCCTCAGAGTGGACAGTTCCTGAACACACTCCTAGGAATCCAGCATGAAATGAGCCAAGAGATCTGCACAAGTCGAAGAAAAGGACGCCATTTTTTAAAACATCCAAATAAACACCAGTATATATAAAATCCTATGACAGGCCTTGTGACCGTTAAAAAGAAGCAGACTTTCTGTAATGAAACTTGTAATGAGTACACAGATGTGATAAATAAATCTCCTCCCAGTTGGCCTGATTAGAGCAGAGAGATTCGGGTCCTGTGTGATGATTTATCTTTTATAAGTTTGCTACTTTTTCACTCTTCAACAGATTCAGTCTTGTAAATATTTTCTGTTGTATGAAGAGTGGAACTTTTCGATCTTAAAAATTGGTTTTTGGCAGCTTTGGTCAAGTTTTTATTTTATTGTCATTCACTTTTTTTTTCTTTTTTTTATATAAACTTAGTCTGCATATTCCTGTACTGTAACAGTAATATTTGACCAGATACATCACATAATGTAGAACACCAATGAAATGCTAATTTATCTCAATAATTCAATTAAATTTGATTGGATTGAATTAAATGATTTTCAAATAAAATACATTTACTTTCAAATGAAGAAAGGAGTCGCTCTTTAGCTTTGGCAGGATGCTGTCATCATTGTCCCTGGTTCAGCAGTGGGTGACCTTACATGTGACAATTGTAGCCTATGTATTGGGTGTATCTGTCTATGTCGCGGCTGTTGAAACATTTACCCAAACCCAACTGTGTATGAATATCACCTAAACTTTTAAGTGAGTTTTGATTCACAACCATCTCAAGGTTTGCAGCTGAGTTTCACTTTTTGATTTGATTAAATCATTTCACTTTATGATCAGATCATTTATTGAGAGGAATCTGAACAGTTTATGTTCCTCACACACCTGGTAATACAAGGCTGATTGATGGGTTTATAAATTGTTCATGCCATTTTTTTTAAATAAAAGGAACAAATTATATTTATTGACTTTGTCATGCACATACACAGTTGACAGATTGTTTTAAATGATGAACATTTTATTTTGGATTTGTCATATTTGTATTTGCATATGTTCCACATTTTCTCAGTGATCTAGTTTCTGTTTGTTTTGCATTGACTGACAGGGCACCCTTTAAATAAAATTACCCAACCTAGACAAAATATAAAGTACAATATAAGTTTTTTTTATTTTTATTTTTTTTATCTGAAACAAGTACGTGTTGGACCACTATCTATATCTCTGTCTTTTCATTATTTTTTTTATTTATTTTGAACATAATGGTATAAAATCACGCACATGAACAAGGAATGCAAGACACATTTTTAGTACCACAATAATCTTAACATGGTCAAAAAGGAGTAGGAAGAAGTAAGATACTCCTTCCCCATAAAATCATGCTATATTTTCAGATGGACCCTCATTATTGAATCAAACTAGAAAATAAACAGGTTAATTAATTTTCCATTTTATCTGGATTTTTATATTTCTATATCGATATACCCACACACATCATTAAGTTTGAGTTACTCCTTAAGTTATATCCCCCTTTTCTTTCAAAAAACATGTTCTGTATATGCTCAGGTAACAGTTCATTTGATGCCTTAATCATAATTGGAGCAATTTTAAATTTTACCATATCTTAAGAATTCTAGATTTGAAGAACTTTGGGATTATGTGCTCATAAAAACTGACATTAAAGTTGATTCTAATGGCTGGTTTCTGTTGGATACTCAGTGGTTGTAAGGAGCTTTTGTAATTAATTCCCCACACCTCTGAACAATATGTTGCAAAATCAGAGCTATAAAGAATATGAAGTGATAAATTATTCTGAATATGTCTAGTTTTAGCCAGGACTGATATGGTTATACATAGTTTATTCTGGAAATGTTTAATAGGAGGTTTCCAACTGATCTTGTCATCTACTATTACACAAAGAAACTTATTAACATATATATACCCATTCTAGAGTTACGTCCTCGATCTGAACTTCAATTTGTGTATTTTTGTGACAGTTTCAAAAAAACATTATTTTAGTCTTGTCCAAATATATATATTTGTAGCGAAACAACAACAGTAAACTTAAAAATTCTAAGTTACTGAATGTTGCCACGATAATCCTTTCTCACACATTTCACAGCAACCTTTGTAATCCTTATCAACAACAGTCACCTGTACCAGTCAGGTGTCGATTAGTCACAAAGATTGACGGTCATAATATTCCTTTAGCGTTGTTTCCATTCACCTCTATTTTCCACTCCTTTTTTCCACTCTCATCTTTTCAAACAAATGAAAGATTGTAATCGCTAAACATTTTCTCACATAGATACATATATGTATACAGTTTTCTCAAAAGCTTCATAGAATTAGGATTTTCATCTGAAATTGTGTTATTGTCATTTCACAAAGATTTTTACTTGCTAACTCATTTTTATAAACCTTTTAAATGACAGATTTTGTGGACACAAAAAACTAGTGCAATACAGAGAACATGGACACAATTATTTACCACTCAACCTACAAGTAAAGGCTGTATCTGTAGTTAACATTTACTCAAACTTTTATGAATGTGTTGTCACTATGTGTGGTTTTAATAGAGTTGATATGCTTATTTGTGCATTTAAAAAAAGTTTTAGTAAACTAAACTAAACTTAAACTAAAAAACTACGAACAGTTTAGAAAAGGCAAACATTAATAGGGAAAGGAAAATATGATGTATTTCAGATGCTCTTTCTCTGTCAGCAGTTATGTTTTTTTGAAATTCTCTATATTATAATTGTGAAGAGGATCTAAAATACATATTTTCTTTTCCCTATTAATGTTTAGCTTTTTTGAATAGTTCACATTTTTTAGAAATATTTTTTTTCAGAAAAAGGTTTCTAAAACCTTTTATAAATGTTCTAATATATATGAGCATCATCAACTTTATTCAAAATATACAGTTTATTTTGACTCCGTTATCTCCTGGGAAGTTGTTGAAAATCCTGGACTACAGGAATACAATTTAAATGGTTTCCTCTTTTAATGTTTTCCTAACCATTTAAATGGTCCCCCCCTCCACCCTCGCTAGATATATTATTCTACAACAAAATTATCTTTCAACCTGGGTGAAGTTTTATGATTCCACTCTGTTGATAATCAGCTCAGTCAAAGCCACGCCTCCACATTAAGGGACTGTATTGCAGCTTTAAAAGACTGGATCACTTCCTCTTGGTTAGAAGCACTTTATGACCCTTTCAGCATATATCAGAGGATTCACTCAACTCTGAGCACCACATGGAAATGGAGGACCAAATGGAAAGCCAGAAGAGAAGAGGAGTGAGCAGTGATAAGTTAATATGTAAGCCAAATATTTTGATTGTTATTTTCACATGCATGCTTAAGCATGACTTGACAGTCTGTGTCATGTAGTATAGTTGTTATCACTTCTTACAAATAGTTTTTTATTTGGTTATTAAAGATTTTATGTAATCCTGACCAGGTGTTCTGTATGTTACATGACAGTTTTTTACTATTAATTATGAAATAAGGAGTTCAATGTACGACATGAATAGGTCAGAACATACCTGTGCTGATAAAAGCAGCGACACAACCCAGAGGAGAGCAGACCTCTGGCAGCATAGAGACAGAAATCACATGTCATAAAGATAAACATTGTCACTGAATCTTGTGACTGAGAATTATTTGCTTCTTTATTTTCTGTAGCTTTTTTCTACACTGTGTTAAGCCAAGCAAAAATAGATCCTATTTTTCAGAGATTTAACCCCCAAGTATGTACATTTTCTACCACTTGGTTTTTTTTACAAAAGTGCATCATTCCATAAAATACAATAGAGCGATTGTCTATACAGTATTTAGTATTTAAAAATGCACAAAACGCTGATCTATAAAACTGGAGCTGATTACAATATCAGCTTCTTTCTATTTTGATCATGTGAAAGCAGTTTATGCTAAAGATAAGGGTTTGCTGTGTTTGTTGACATCCACAAATATAGCATGTGTTGCAAGTCAACTCTTGTAGCTTTTTTGTGTTGGTTTCGAAAGATCTTCAGAGCCCAGAAAGAAATAACTGTCCCTTAGATTAAAAAAAAAAAAAAAATGCGGCTGGGAAATTTTCTTAGGTTGAACAACAGGAAGTTTATTCTGTTTGTTCAACTGATTTCCTGTGAGCTGCTACATTGTGGTTTCTGTTTAAATGTGTCTTTGTGGGCACTGACACTTTTAGCAAAAGCCACAAAAGATAAAACTTTCCATCAATATGTGATTTCTCTGATAACAACAAACACAAAAGGAAATATCCTCATGGCTTCTCGTCTGGAAATCCAATTACTCCAAGTCTTTTCTCTGGAAAGCTTTACTCCAGAGATCGTGTTGCATAAGTCTACATTTTCATAGTCTTTGCACATATGTTTTTGTTTGGGGGTGCTCTGTCATAATCTTAGTAATGATATAATAAATCTTTGACACACCTTTTAACTGCTGGTGGCAGTTAAAGTCAAAAGTAAACAAAAGATACGTGTTGTGAAATAAAGCATTAACTTTTCTTTGGTGTTAAGTCCAAACTAAAGGTAATGCTTTAATGTTTAATCCTAAAGTTCAACTTATAACATTACTTTTGTATATTGGCAGTAGTCCAGTGATTCAGATTTTGTTAAAGTAGGCATTTCCCAGGTGGCACTTGATGTAGCAGAAGCACCCATGTGTGGAGGTAATGAATCCTCAACACAGTCATCCAGGGTTTGAAGCCTAACCTTCAGACTCAAGGTGCATTTCTTACCCTATATATCTGTTTCATATCTAATTACCACAAATGCAGCATACTTGTGGCACAAAACAAAAAAAACAGAACAAAAAACCAGATGTTTCTTTACAATCCAGAAATGTGTCAAATCATTTTCTGTTTCTTAACACATTTTATAGACTTTGTTTTCTCTTTCACTAGCTGAAGGGCCAGTTGGATCTCTGGGATGTTGTGGCTGGGTGCTGGTCATCCTCTCAGGTTTTTTTGTTTTTTTGACCTTCCCAATAACAATCTGGGCTTGCTTTAAGGTGAGAGAGCGGAACACCAGAAATCACTCATTTCGTTTAGTGCAAACAATAACATGAACTGATTATTGTCAATACTGCAGATTGTTCAGGAGTACGAGCGGGCCGTCATCTTCAGGCTTGGTCGCATTACTGACCGAAAGGCAAAAGGACCAGGTGTAGTAATCATATCTATTTTACCTTTATCCTCCTTTTTTTAGCTTTAGCAAAATGCTCATGCCTGCACCTTTTTCTGTATATCGACAGGAATTTTCTTCATTTTGCCATGCACTGATTCTATTGTGAAAGTGGATCTGAGAACTGTGTCATTTGACATCCCACCACAAGAGGCAAGAGACACACAACAACACACTTTCGGAGGAGTTGTATGTAAAAGTCATGTCTATAATGTGTATAATGTGTATCCTTGCTCTAGATTCTCACAAAGGATTCGGTCACTGTGAGTGTGGATGGTGTTGTGTACTTCAGAGTGAGTGACCCGATCGCCTCTGTGGCCAACGTGACTAACGCTGACTTCTCCACTCGGCTGCTGGCACAAACCACCCTCAGAAATGTTCTTGGCACCAAGAACCTCGCAGAGGTCTTGTCTGATCGGGAGGGCATCGCCCACAGCATGCAGGTATAGAAGCTGAAAGGGCTCTTGTCTTTGACTTTTGTTCCCTCTTTCCTGATTCATATACAATCAATGTGTTTGCCTAGGGCCTGGAAAGTTATGAAGGGTTATTATTATTGTTTATTATTGTATATGTACATGGGACAGGTTTCTGAACCACAATACTTCACAGCAGGGGTGCAGTTGGGATTTTTAGGACTAATCAGTCAAACTTTTCAGATGCGGGTAGATTAAACTAGATTAATGTCTGAACTTTGACAAATCAAATGAAGGTTTCAGAAACCACAAATTGTGTTAGGATTTGGGGTTTATTGGGTTTTATATATTCTGCAAGTAGTGTAAAGTAATTAAGACCAGGTTTGAGAAAGAGTCTGAGTTTTTTCATTTTTTTAGCTAGAGCAGATTAAAGATGCTCGTAACAATTTTGGTGGAATTCTTTTCTTCTGCGTTCACCATAAAAAAAAATCAAACAAACCAATACAAATCAGTTTGGTACTCTCAATCCATGTGTAGTTCTGCCATATTTTTTGTTTCAAAATAAAATGAGAGAATAGGGATGTATTTTTGTTTATTTATTTAAAAGCTGACTTAGAAAAACGACTAAACTAAAAATAAAAAAGATCACAATTTTTCCAATTTCTTATTGTAATTTGTTTCTAGGTAAACAAAAATGGAAACTTTATACTTTGTTCGTGCAACAGTTGCTTTTGACTTACTGCTCAGAGAAATGTGCTGCTGTCAGCTGTCCTCGTCTGCTCAGTGTCACATAAAAAAACTGATTTATGTGGAGACTTTTTCCCAAGGAGTAGAATTTTCCCACTGAACAGCTTATCACTTTTATTCCACACTGAGTCCCCCTGAGAACGAGTCAAGTACGCCCTACTCTGTGGGAATTTATGCTGAATGAGGCTATTTATATCACTAGTAACTGTACTGTTTTTGTAGTACACTGTGTACCACAGAAAAACAACATTTGTCTTCACAAAAACACTGGTCTCTTAATACAATGAATGAAAATTTATGAAGTTAACTGATTATTAAACGTCAATTTTACCAGTAATGTGAATTTGGGTGTTGTACGAAAAGGGCCGGATAGGTCACTATGAATCTTAGGGTTTGAGGGTTCATGTCCTCTCCATACCCTGGGCCATCTGAACCCATGCTATACATGCAAAATAGGTTTCCTTTTTGCCTGTTGAAAATAACTGAATATTATTAAAAATAATATTCTATTATGTTCAATAAAGATGCTTTTTTTAAGATGTTCATGTATTGTGTGTTTCAACAATGTGAAACACACAATACACATTATTTACAAGGAGACTGATATCTACAAGCTTTTATTTCTTTTAAATAGGATGATTACAGCTAATGAAAACCTGGCATATTATATCAGACCAATAAAAAACATTTAAACATGGGTTTAATTAAAAGCATGCTTTTAATTGAGGTAATTATTTCCAAAAGGTACTTTTAAACTTACGAAATAGTTTTTTGTTAAATATAATGCTGCCTTTCATTTTCTTCAAATAAACAACACATAATGTTAGTTTCAAATATGAGGTAATGATTTTCTTTCTCTATTTTCCAGTCAAGTCTGGATGAAGCCACAGACAACTGGGGTATCAAGGTGGAACGTGTGGAGATCAAAGATGTGAAACTGCCTCATCAGTTGCAGAGAGCCATGGCTGCCGAAGCTGAAGCAGCTCGAGAGGCCAGGGCAAAGGTCAGGACACTGAACATAATAAAACAAACAAACAAACAAACAAAGACAAGTGTATCACATAAAACTTGAAAATTTGGTTGTGTTTTTGCTTTATTTTAATATTTGTCTCTTGCTACAGGTGATTGCAGCTGAAGGTGAAATGAATGCCTCCCGGGCCCTGAAGGAGGCATCCCTTGTTATTGCAGAGTCTCCATCAGCCCTGCAGCTCCGCTATCTGCAGACTCTCAACACCATTGCAGCGGAGAAGAACTCCACCATCATCTTCCCACTGCCTATGGATGTCATATCTCACTTCATGCGCAAGTGAGGCTGCTGAAGCTATCATTTGGAGTATGAGGAAGGAGTTGGGTTGCATTTATTGCCTATGCTTGAGAAAAAAATCTACCAGAATTCACTGCCAATCCTTCATGGCTTAGTGATTGTTAGCTTTGATCAAGCAGAGTCTTTCTTATGGATGTGATATAAATAGAAAATGGAATGCCAATGCAATGTAGTTTCTAAATTTGTGTCTATAATGATGTTATACAAGTAACTTAATGTTTTAATAAAGGTGTTTGTTTCATTGTGTTGAAAAACTCCAAATGTTTCTCTTGTATCTTAATTCTGGAAACTCCCAAATGAAATGCTAATAAGAAGTTACAAAGGAACTAAATGTGTTTTTGAAAAGTCATGTTTTGATTTCATAAACTCATAATGACACAAGATCAAAGTAAAACTCTTGGCTTTTTCAAACATTTTTCTTTTATAATAAAAATCTGAAAAGCATGTTGTGCACTCTGGTACAAAGTCTCTGTGCCAATAATTGTCTTCAGAAGTCACCTAAGTAGTAAACAATCGTGTGTAATTTAATTTTAGTATGTCAATGATTCTAAAGTTTAATGAAGAAAAAAAAACATTCACAAATAAACAATCTACTTAAAGGGACAGTATGTGTGTTCATATGGTGTCATTTTATACCATAGTAAAGTTACTAAGTTACCTTCAGGTATTCTGAAGCTGAGCAGAAATGGCAAGAAGATGGTAGAGACTAAACACAGGACAAAAAAAAAAAAAAATCTGTTATGGGCTATAAACTGCTTGAGAGACAGGCAGAGGTTAATCTTTCAGGATGAGAAATTATAAACATACAACAAGCCTTAAGATGCAACAGCTTAGAATCAAGCATGTTTATAAGCCACAGGGGTCCAGTCAAAGTTCATAAATAATCTCTTGTGAGAATCTCTGGTTTATTGAGAAATTACCGTTTAGAGATATTGTCCATCAAACCTGACTCACTTCCCTAATGCAAATGTACAACGCACCCTTCATATTTTGATACAGCTAAAATGTAAAAGGTGTGCGGTCCATATATGACTAATGAAATCCTTTCCTTTCACAATTATTCACAACATTTTTATAAGATATAAACTAAATTCAATCAAAATACAACTACAACATTTCAACACTCTATATCTCTTCTCATTTATGTAGTGCCATATCAGAGAATCTCCACTTGTAGTTTGATATAATAAAGAATATAATTAGCAGAATAAAGATTCTTGAACAACACAATTCATTCTGAAAACTCATTCTGAAAAGATAACACAAACACTATAAAATTTTCTTAAACACTTTAATATTGTCCTGTCTCGTAATGACAAACAAAGGCATCAACATACTGTGTTCACATTACATTGATGAATGATTTTATTCCTTCTCTTGTATATCTCCCCACGCTACAGTTACAACCTAACCGTGGACAATGCAGAGAAGTCAAAGAAGAGAAAAGGAGAACAAGGACAGCAAAGGCCGAAAAAACATGCTTCTATTTCTGTCGGTGCACTAAGACACACAACTCATGTTGTAAATGTATTTACATTCAAACATACAATCAGCACCAAAAAGCTCGTCTCAGGATCAAAATCCATAGGAGCTAAAGTTTTGAAGATCACCTCTATACATTTTAATAATTAATTGAATTGAAGGTTGACAAGCCACATTTGCTACAGTAGCATTTAGAAACCAACATGAATGTTAAAAACATTGCCAAATGTAATAAATTATCTACGCTGTTCTGTAAGTAGTTTTGACCAAATGCTACATATTCAATAGCTGCTACAAAATGATCACAAAAGAGGTCCTTCTTTAGTAAACAAAATGGCATGAAAGAGTTTTACAAAATGCAATCATTACAATTTTGACATTCAGAGCAAAGTGAGACACAAATGTCCACGGGACACATTGCAGGGTCTTTACAATACCAGTTTAGGGTTTAAAAACTGTAGTCCATGCAAAAGACTTATTTTGAAATTCAGAACTGTGTGCTGCCATTTGTAAACAATAGTTTTGTTGCATCTTTGTAGACTGTAGTTTTTGCACCTGAGGTGAACCTTTAGGAGGAATCTGTCGGTGGTGTAAGTGAGGAAAAATAATCCCAAACAATCTGAAAACAGTTTTTGACTGGTATTTTTCAGTCCACATTCTTTTTGTTTTGTTTTGTTTTGTTTTTTTGTTTGTTTTTTTCTTTTTTATAACTGAGCAGACATTCTTAAAATCATCAGTGTAGAAAAAAGAAATAAAAGAATTGTGACCGTTTCAATACATTTCTCAAACACTGCATTTGACATTCTTCTGCGACGAGCATTCAACCCTGTGTCCACATCATACAAAAAGTTGAAATGTAATGAAAAGAGTTCTTTTCAAGACCATCAAAAAGTGCTGGTAAAGACGTTACAGACCAACATCTCCCATAGATTTTTTTCACCCCCAGTAAAGATGTATAAAAAGCATTATAATAAATATTTATTTTATTGCTGCAGCAATCCATCATTTAAATGAAATAAAGCGGTAGGAGGATTGATTTAACCACATTTCTAAAATACTTCTCAATATCCAGAAGCATTTTTTATTTGAACAATAATCATTGAAATCAGCCATGGTGATAAACTTTTAATAGGTAATCCATGACACAAGGGCCAGTTTCTGCTAGTAACACTTCAGCATGGGAAAGACAAGAGAAAATGTATTACAGTTAGGCTGAAGTGTAGCTTTACCTTCCAAATAAATGTCCAAAACTTCATATCAGAAAACCATTGAGAAAGAAAATAATTTATTATTTATTTCAAAGGCTTTAGCACACATCTATACTGGAGAACTGTTGTCACTGAAAGCTTGGTCCAATAACATTTAAATGAAGCTGGTGGAAACATTCAAATCAAGTGTGCTGGTCAATATCTTTTTACATTTTCTTTGCAGAGTAAGTGTTCAAGAGAGTTTTGTAAGGACCAGCACCAGATCTCCACATGAAAAACCCCATTAAACCCAACTACTTCAATTCCCTAATGTCAGTTTACCAATAAATATGACGATAATAAGTAATCCAAATGCATGCTCCCCTTGGTAGTAAAACTATTGACATTGAGGTGGGCAAATCTAGGCCTCGAGGACTGGTCTCCTGCAACTTTTAGACGTATCTCTACTTTTAACACACCTGAGTCAAATAATGAGGTCATTAGCAGGACTCTGGAGAACCTGACTGTACTTAGGAGGTGATTCCGCTATTGGATTCAAGTGTGTTGGACCAGGGAGACATCTAAGAGTTGCAGGAGTCCGGCCCTCGAGGACCAGGATTACCCACCCCTGCATCTATCTATATACAGTGGGTAAAGTTTAAACTGTTTCAATTTTGTGGATAAAGACCTGTAGCTTAGAGTATATTATTTCAAGCCAGGCAAAACACCATGACTCTGAGGGTAATTTACTGTGAGAAGCAGATATAACACACCATCTGAAATAGTGGAAATATAAAATTTTCTTGTTACCTTTACTCATTTTATTTAGTCCTAGTTGGCTTATGCCATGCTGTTTTGTAAAATAATTTTGGGGGAAATCTTTTTAAAATTGTTTTTACAGGGCAGCTGTACAAAAGAAAGAAAGAAAATCTTATAAATTGCAACTCAGATTTCCCTGAATAAGCTATTCATTCACTGAATGAATTGAATCTGCAATTCATTCAGTGAATGAATTGCAGATTGTAAATTAAAATGTATTGCAGAAAAGGTGATGAAGATGTACTACAAATACAGGTTCTACAAGTTCTACACTAATTAAGTACATCACTTAAGGTAAACAATTTTTTTCTGTTTTACCAACATAATTTAGAGGCATTTTACACAAGACAGTCCCCTCAAAGTTTAATCTAGAATTTTCTGCATCCATGGACAAATCCAATAATTTATGTCCTGTTTGTTCTAAACATGTCCTCTGTTCACTCAATGAAATAAAACACTATGCATTCATGCACCACAGATACCGAGAATCCATGCCCCTTGAACTCTTTGACACACCACAGCAACAAACTTTCGTGTATCTTTAGGAGTTTTGTGATAGACAAAACACAAAGTTGGGTGAAATGGATATTTTCAACTTCAAAAAATCTTAAATGCAAAGCACACCTCACAGAATACTGTTTTGTTGATCATCTCAAAATGGAAACAGTAAGGACAAGGACTTAACACATTTGGGGTGGAATGATGTTGAACAAAGCGTATTATCATGTGCTGGAATCCAAGTTCAGACCTAAATCCATATGAGTCTGTGGTGAGACTTGAAAGTGGGTGTTCACAATTGCATCCTTGCTGAGTTAGAGCTATTATGCAATTTTATTAAAAAATAATAACATGGACAGTTACTTGCAATGGATTAGAGTAAATCTAGCTACTTGGTGTTGGTCTATGACATAAAAGCCTTATGAAGACAAAGATGTTTGGGGTTTTGATGCCATAAAATGTGAAAATATTTAGGGGATGTGAATACTTTTGCATATTCAAACCAGTGTAATGTACAATATAGTTGGGATCTCCAAATTATCTGCTCTACTGGGGTCATAAATCTGTATTCCACTTCTGTCCCATGACAAACATTTTTAAACTTACAAACGCACAAATATTTTCTAAACATCTCAGCATCAATAAATAGATCACAGCAATAACTATTTTTACGTTAAAACCGGAAGACTTTCACAGTACATGCTTGCTTAATTAGCAAAAGGCGTAATAAATAAATCAGTTAAACATTGCACTATAAAGTAATAGATAACAATTAAAACAATAAATCCTGTGCGAGGTTTCCCTTAGTTCTGAGCGCTCCGTTATCTGTTATGTTGTGTTCTGATTACTGTTGTTGAGACACAACAGACTGCACATTTCCACTGAGTTACATAGAAAACAGCAAACACAGATTTTGAAAGTTGACCTGAGGGACCTGAAGTAAAGAGGAGCTTGTCTTGTAAAGGAAGACCTGGCAAGGCTGTAAAAAATACACAAAGTTCTCAGTATTTTGCAGGTAACATGGCTCCGAGGAGGTTAAACTATCAGCACTGAGCTAATTAGAAACTCTCAAATAGAACTCGAGGAGGCAATTTGCTTCAATTTACAAACCAATTCTTGAACCGAAGTCCTTTATAAATAAAACATTGGTCACTCTCTGCTGGCGAGGTGGTAGGACCAAGTTTAAGGCGCTTTGTTTAGTCCAGATGAAAGGAGAGAACTGACTCTCCTTCCACATCTTACTCTAATGGAGAACAGCTTATTTTACTGAGGATGCGTGTGTGTTTGTGTGTGTGTGCATGTGAATGCGTCTTTGCCACACGAAAGTATCGTATTCTCGTGAACCGAATGTGTAATTTTCATCTCTACATTTGCACTATGCAGGACACATGCAGGGGAGGTTTATCTATCAACAACACCTGTTCTAATATTTAACAATATTTACAGTGTGCAATTAAAAAGACATGAACACACATAGAACAGTCAGAAGCTCTGACTGGAAAATTCAGTGGTCGCCAGCATTTTTTTTGTGTTTGTACATCTAACTTATAGAATCTCTGCATCACAAACACCACCATCAGCGTGGTTCACAGTGTCTGTACAGTATGATGGTAACTGGTCCTAGTTACTTTTTTGTGACATCATACATGCCTACAAAGAAAAAAATTGGAGTACTGAAGAAAAAATGGGGGACGTGTGAGCTTTGGAAGCTTCTTTTAATTCTGTAAAGAGGTGTTTGAGTTAGAGCAACCTGACGACACCCTGTGAGTGGGCGTGTTCGGGCCGGAGGAGTAGTTGTGATTGAAAGCCGCCCTGTGAGTGGGCGTGGCTGGCCCGGGAGAGAGGTTTTGATTGATGGCAGCTCTGTGCGATGGGGAGCAGTACTGAGCTTGCCTGGGACAGCCGTGACAGTGGGTGGGCGAGTCGCACCCTGCCAGTGGTGAGGAGGAGAACAGCGGGGAGGAGGGGACAGGGGAGGTGGAGAAGGAAGAGCGGTGGAGTGGGGACGAGGCCGGGGATATGAGGGGGCTGGTCTGGAGAAGCCACAGCAGTTCCTCGTTGTTGCGGCTCAGGCGCTTCTTCTCAGTGCTCTCCTTCTCCACAGACTCGTGCAGGTTGGCGTTCTCCTCTGTCAGTTGCCTGTATGGGGAAGGATAAATGATTGCTTGAAATAGGGAATGCAATGTAATCTTAGAATTTATCCAGTGAAACCAAAAAACACAAAAACCAACCCCTTAAAACGAATGGACGGGTGATAGAGGTCTTTTATGTTGTCATGTTAGCTTGGTTCGTCATGGTTCCAACTTTTAGGTCACAAAAATTATATTGGAAATTAGACTTTTAATGCTTTCTTATACCAATTTAATCTTTAACATGAATGCTGAAAGTGAGTCTATTTTAACACCAGTGTTACTGAACCACACTGACCAGAAGTCAAACTTATTCTACTCACCGTAACTTTCAGGGTTTCACAAGAATAGTTTAGATGTCATTTCAAATAACAGACTCAATTCAATTAAAAAAATATTGCTGTGTTACTATCAGCAGGTCCTGCACTACAAGATCTGGTCAAACACAACATACATTTCCATAAAGTTGTATAAGACAGAGGCTCTTATCCCCAATTTAGTAAATATCTGTAAATGCGATTCACAATGCTTTTCAGATGTGTCTTACCTAGACGCAGCAAGGTTCATCTCGATACGAGCCTTCATATCTTCATTCTGCTGCTGCAGAACCTGGATCTTCTCTTCGAGAAATACGTTCTTTTGAGCCTGCTCAAATTCAGAATGCAACAGAGGTGCAACCTTTAATTAACCAAACACTCAACATCAACAAAATCCAGAAAGCCCTGCATTTGTCATTTGCATGCAAAGGTTGATTGACTATGTCTTTAAAAGGCCTATTTGAGCCTACCACTTTCTCCAAGTCTGAGATCTTCTTCTCCTGCTGGTGAATCTGCTGATTTTTCATCTCAACAACCTCTTTCAAACTCTTCAAATCTTTCTCAATGTGCTGGTACGGAGCTAAAGCATCCTGTTAAAATCAACAACAACAATAAGAAGATGAAGAAAAAGAAAAGGCTTTGCTAAAATATTCAAAACCCTTTGGATATATATTTTTTTTCAAATGTCTTGATACAGCCACAGGTCCTAATGTGGATTATAAATGGTAAATCAAAACAAAGGGAATTGTTATAAAATGGAATGAGAAAAAAAAAACTTTGTTTTTATGCAATACTAAAGAACACATAAGGCAATGCAGAGGTAAAGGTATTGTGTATTTCAACTCTCTTTAGATAATTGTTCAGATATTGCCTCTTTTGGTATTACTAAGTGATTGATGGACTTTATATTTTATTTGTACCAAGGGGTTGGGTTGCATTGAAAGTACTTTTTCACCATCTAGTGGCCAGAAAGTGAATGATATCTAAGCTAAGCTTTATTTGACTTTTTACTATTAGTAAGTTAGGTTTACTAAATTTCAATAAACAATCTACTATATAAGCAATTTGAGCATCTGCAAAAATATCTATTAATATAAGAGTTTATGAGAGTGGATGTAAGAATTTAAACACTGCTATTAAAGCCACAAAATACAGTTTTGTAGATTTAACATGACAAAAAGTGGAAGATATGCTTTACAAAAGCGCTATGTCATTTTTATTTATTTTTGAAGTATTTATAAAAAGCCAAACTGAACTGGACTAATTTTAGAGACATCCTTGAGGAGTGAGACAGATGGTTCTCTTTAGAAAAACTTAGATTTATACTCACAATGATTTGTTCATCCGTACTCCTTCTCAAAGCTTCCTCGAAGCGTTTGGCCTTGTCCTTTAGACTGTGGTTTTGAAATGTGAGCATATCAACTTGATCCTAATCAAAGACACACAGCAGAAACTGAACATCATACATCCACACTGACTAGCAGGTATAAGGAATTAATAAATCTTCTGGAGATGTAATACCTGTAAAGACAGCCTGAGTTTCTCAAAATCTTCCTCTAGGAGGAGCTTCTGTTGCTCATGAGCTTTTCTCAAGTCTGCACACAAACACAGCAACAGAAGTCAGTTTTAGCAGTTTATGCATCACAGTTTTGTTTTTTTATTTCATATCTAAAAACATACCTCTCATGGTACGAGCATGCTCCTCATGCAGTGTTGCCATGGTGATATTATGCATGTCTCTAAGCTCCTGCATAGCTGCCTGGTGGTTAACTGTCACCTCCTCCATCTAACACATCCACAAACATATATAAATATATATACAAATACAAGAACTTGACAGTTCGCATTGGACATGAAAGACTGGATTCCAACCCCTGATTCCTCTCTGTCACCTGCTCCTGCTGCTGAGTCGTCAACTCCTCCATCTCCAACCGATGCTCTTCCTTCAGGTGCTCCACCTCAGCAGTGTGACACTTCCTGAGGCCTTCTTCCACCGCAGCCAGCTCTGCCTCCTGCTGCACTTGGAGCTCCTGCAGCTCGCGCTCAAACGCCACCTCCAGCGCTGTTTTGTCCTGCTGGAGTCTCTCCCAGCGCACCGAGTGGGAGGCTGCACATCAAGCAGATTAAAAAAGGGAATCAAAATGTTCAACTTTTACAGAAAATCTTTGATTTTGAGTAGCTAAAACGTGTTCAAGTCTAACAGAAATTCATGGAGAAACGTAAGAATTTTGATATCTGTAGAAATATGTAGAATTAATATGTGAATAAATATATATATTTTTTTGCTTATATGCTAATCAGAACTAGATATTCAGTCACTGAGTCAGTGAGTCAGTGTCACTGATAAATTTATGAGAGCCAAAGATGTATTTTAAATGCTTAGGGAAAGAAACAGCTAAAAGCTAAAATATTCCATTTTTAATAATTAATGCAAAAATATTTCTTTAATATCTGTGAAAGTAATTGGCAAATACATTCTTGGGAATTATACAACAAAGCAAGAGAAATGTCTACATCAATATTTAGTCATATCTAATTCACTTACTCATTTCCTCTCTGGCTTTCTTCAACTCCAGGGACAATTCACTTTGAACTTCCTCAGCAGTTTTGCTCTGAAAATTACAGAAAAAACAACTATATATTTTTGACATTGTAAAAAATCTAAAAATAATTATCAGTAAAAAGTTTGTATTGTTTAGAGCAGTAACAAAAATTTGTAAGAGTATACAGCAGGTCACAATGAGCTTACATGTTGACTTCATAAGCAAACACTGAGATTAAGTTGTAAACATTGTGCATTCATGTGACGTGAATATTTTCACATTTTGTCAAAGATCAACATAAGGCAAAATAAACAGAAAAATAGGATAAACACTTTTCCAAAAATTTTTGTGAATTAAGATATAAAATTAGTTTAGAAGAAGTATATTAGTTTATAATTTAATCTGAGTATAAATGCAGCAGTTCTGTAAAGTCCGCAGGGTGAATGACACAGCCACAAACCAATAATTGATTATTCACCCAATTTGAAAAAGGCTTTTTTTTTTTTTTTTTTAGCTGGGACACAAAATATGGTGAGAGTTGATGAGAAGTGTGTGGAGCTAAATCCTGGAAGAAACTCTCTCAGAGGCTACAACATACTATGGGAGAGAAGGGTCAACCTCTCTCAGAACACAGCTAGACCAACAACAAAATAGATTAGATCATTCATTCTCATTTGTTAAAATGAGACCAATCTAAGTACAAATATGTGAATTTAAAAATTAGTATTCAAACACACCTTCCATCCAGTCTGTACCTATGTACAATACATTTTTTCCATTTTTATCAATGAAAAATTTGAAAATCATGTATCATTTTGCTTCGGCTCTGCTGATATTTGCTACTTTTTCCTGACTAGTGCACTGCATATCCATTCATCCTTGTTCTTACAGGGTTCAATGTCACTTTCAATTAATTTTGTTTTTTGGAAGGGTGCATTTGCCCTGCAAGGGGGAGTGTACGTGACCTGCATGCACATCAAAAACATGTCAGTTTAAATGATGCATATATCATTTACAACAGCTGCTCTGTGCAGTTTCGATCAGGAGGGGGTGCTCAAACCATCTCTACTGCCCACCACTTGTCTTTTGCATTTCTGTGCTGTATGCTGATTGAATGCAGCACTCAGACAATGACTATAAAGGAGTGAGACAGATACAGACACGATCACTGCTTTCCTGTCTCAGCGCCTTAAACACATCATCAGGCAGGGTGAAACCAGTTTGGACACATTAACGTGGAGCCCGTCTTCACACAGTCACTTTATCTCATCATCCTGAATCTCACCTCATGGTGAGAAATTATCCATCCGTCCTTATTCATGTTCACAGTTTGCACATGCATTGCACATGTGTTTGCTACAACCGAGGGTCAGAGAAAAATGGTAGGAGGAAACATCATGTGGAAAGTGTATGGAGGAGAACAGATAAATTCTACTGATAATCAAAAGTTGTGTCACAGGAAATCAGATTGATCATCAGTTCTACTCTCCACTGAGGATTATTTGGCTGCTTTATGAAGTCATAGTTAATTGGGAATAGGGCCACTGTTGCGGAACAGGGAGCCACAAGGTCATATTTTCATTATATAATTTCATTTCGGCTACCTTGAAGCAATAATGCTGAGTGGTGATGATAAAGGCATCAAGACCTAGAGAAGTTCTCTGCAGCTCTTCCCTCAGAGTCTTTAGCTGCCTCTCCTGATGGTTGCAGTACCTCTGTAACCTATGAACCTGAGCAACAAAAAAGAACAAAAATACCCCAAAACAAATAAATGTAGATAAATGCAATAGAAGAATGCAAAGTTTAAGTAGTTAGGCTGACTCTCATTACTGACCTCCTCCAATTGTTCCATCTTTTCTTTCTCATCTGCTTGCCTTTCTTGCTCTTTCTGCTGAGCTTCTTCTTTCTCTTTCTGCAAGTTCTCCTGGTGTTCCTGCTGCGGCCTCAGGGGAGCCAGACGCCGAGGTGACCCTGAAGGAGTGGAACCCCGCACTGCCGCTGCAGGTCGCTGCCCGGGCTGGACTTTAGAGTGAAGAAAAGCAAGCAGAAACTATAAATGGGTGGAAGTCAAATTTATTTTGAATAACACTTTTTAGCAACAATGCAGTTCAGAGGCAGTTATGTGTTTCACATGGAGGAAAAACGTGATATAAAGCTTTCTTTAACTTACTAATTTAAAAAAAAAGTGTTGTCAGTCCCTAAATTAAGTCAGAAGTTACTTAATAAACAAATAGAGTGCAACTATCTTGGGAGGAGACACAACTTGCAACCCAGGATAGGAATCAGTTCAAAGTGTATCAAAGTCTGCATGTACTCCAGATATAAATCAAAATCAAGAATTTGTGGCAAGACTACAGAATTGATGATTTTAGAAAGACTTTATTCAATATGACTAAACTTGTGCTTTATGGTGAAGAACAATCAGCAAAACACCAATTTCCAGTTATACAAAAGACATTCATGGTTGCAATTCCACAAAATGTGAAAAAGTTCAAAGGGTGTGAAAACATTTGCAAAACACAGGATATATCATCATGATCTAATTTTTAATTCTCTGTACCAATGAAACTAACAGCTGTTAAATTAGGAGAGATCTGACCTGACCCTCTAATGATGGGCTTCATGAGATAAATGATTGGAACTTAATGAAATCTTTTCTGCAAAGGAAATTTTGTCCCTAATCTGATGTCCCCGCCTTTAATTTTATGATAAATGGGACTAATATCTGCTCTGCACAAAAATTAATCCACAGAGAGCATCACTGTGAACATCTAGGGTTTTATAATAACTTGTGTAAATATTTACTTGTTAACTATCAATCTAAGTAAAGGTTTCATTCACTATTGATGAGAGTAATTTGAAAGTAATTTGAAAGCTGGGCAAACATGCTCACCTCGTCATTTTTCCTAATAGGAAGACAACCAACTATGTTGCAGCTGAGATTCAGACAAGTCCATTAACCTGTGTGTTCTACCTTGTCAATGGTTGTGAACAAAGGTGCACAACATCTTTTAGTTTCGATATGTCAATATTTTAAAATAGTTATTGTAATTTTTAAATCCCTCCTATAAAGCAAAGAACTATCCCCCCAATGTCTGCACCTCTGCATCCCCAGCCTGAGCCAGATCATTCGGACCTACTGAAGCGTGAGGGAGCGGTTTCCATGACAACGCGAGGCAGAGATTGGGGTGCAGGGTCCCAGGTAATGGGAAAGAATTGGTTGGAGAAAGGTGGGGTGGGATGGGGGATAAAATAAGAGAAAGAGCAGTGAGATAAAAGAGAGAAAAGAGTTGCAAGGCTATATTGAGTAGGAGGGGGGTGGGGACGAGGAACTGAATCACTGTAATCATGATACATTTCTAAAGCCCATTTAGATGAGTGAGAAAGAAAGCTGATAAGAAAAGTACATATTTTTTTTTCCCTGAAAGAGGAAGTGAATAAGGCTGAGAAAAAGGTTTTGCTTTTCAAAATCCATACCATTTAGCAGATCTTGGAGCATTTATCCACATGATTATTCCCTGTTGTGTCCCTCTCTAAATTATTTCCACCCTACTTTTCCTGACAAGCACACATGTGCACACATACCTGCAGACATGTGTAGTGTCCATCTGAAAGGTTACAGAGAGGATACTGAATACTAAATGAGTGTGATGCAGATGGGAGCCGGGAGAACGGATTTGGAATATTAACACGAGCAACAATGATGAAAACATTGAAAAGACCGCAAACAGTATGTCATTATAAATGTATTACAACCTGGATTTTCACAGATTTCACTGGAAATATCACTGAATAATAATATCAAAAATTCAAATTTAAGTGGGCAGAAGGAAATTCTTTGATTATATAGGTAAAGGTAAAATCAGGAGAAGTGCAAGAAGGAAAATAAGGACCAGTAACACTGCAGTGGAAATATTAAACAGAAGAAAAAAAAAACAAAGCCTGGGGAGACTTTTTTTATAAGGAGACATTTGGATGTTTGCTGCAATCCCATGACATTTTTTTTCACCACTGCAGAGCTAGAAGAAGGAAAAGCTCTGCTTTTCATGGACCAAATCAAATCATAGACGGAGCTGTGTGCTCAGCTCAGCACGACACACTTGGAATAACCACACATCATCCAAGCTGCAATTTGATGTGGTTAAATTTCATAGTTTAAAATATTTCAAGAAGTTGATCTAGAGTAAAGAAGTAAAAACCACATGGAGCTGAGGTGTGGTTTTGTAAAGGAAACATGAGGATCAAACTAACAATGTATTAAAGAACCAGACAAAGACAAAGGTATTTGCCTTTATATTACTGTAAAAATAGAAGAAATATATCTGACGAAATTAAAATATCATCAATACCCTAAATCACTTCAGTAATTTTATTCAAAGAATATATAAATATTATAAAACTTATATGGACTGATTTCATATAGTGAGATGATCAGTTTATTTATGTTTTCGTGTTTATATTTTCATAAAATTTTAATTTATTGAGATGCACCTGGACAGTACTTTCAAAGCAGTTTTTACAACCTTTGTTGAACCTTTTCATTTATAAGTCAAATGCTGGCCCCTTTTATTCAGAATCTTTCAGTGACAGAAATCATGAGTGATAGCAGAGAACGTTCTTATTTTCAGTTTTTCAGGCGTAGTCTGCAAGGTTTCACTCCCAAAGTCCAAAACAAATTGCCTATTACAATAAAAAGCCATAGGAATTAGTTTATGCATTTTCGCTTTTTTTTTTATGCAGTTCTGAAATGAAAATCTAAACAGGCTTTAATGAGTACTCAACCAACGAACTTACCTGGGGACTGGAGTTTCGGGGGAACCACTGCCAACCTTTTTGGCGAAGAAGGAAGAGAACGTGTGACCTCTGAACTCCGCTGAAACTCCTTTCTGCCAACTGTCAAAACACAAATTTGATAAATCAGTGGATGGTTTCATCCTTAGACAATCAAACAAAATTAAAAAATCCGTAAGGGGCAGGATCTGGCAAAAGTATTCATTTTTTTATTGAGGCATGTTTAGCTGCATAGCATATGTATATAGGTATGTGTGCTTGTGTCACAGTCACCAAACTTGCTCTTTACTTTTTCTCAGTCTTTTTCTACTCTTCCCTTTCATCTCCTTCTATCCCCAAAGCTATAAATATCTTTCTAGATCATCTGTCAAACATGAACAAGGCATTCAAGGGTCTACATAAACATCACCTTCATGTTCTTTGTAACATTTCGCACTTTCTAGGCCAAAATAGGTTCCAAATAGGGATTTCTAATCTTTTTTTCTATTTTGTGCTTGCACATTTGCTTGTATGCTACATTACACCTTTTACACAGCTGGAGGTGTGTGAGGTGGAAAGCGAGCAGCAGGTTTTACAGAACGACGTTAGACGTGTTGCTGTGTGAAGCTAAAACGGTAACGGGAGGAAAGTGAGAAGAAAGGAAGTTTCAAGAGGTTTGTAGAGAGTCTGTCATGAGGCAGAGAAGAGAGGGAAAAGAGAAGCTTTGAAAATAAACTAATTAGACCTGTTATGGGAGAGAAGCCTCTGATCCTGAGCAAATCCACATATAACCCTGGAGAGATACTCTGGGCCTCTAGAGAGATCATTTATGGGTTCACTGTATGTGTGCTCACTCCTCATGCTCTTCTGCTGTCTTTCAAATGTTGCTCTCAGAGTGGCTAATAATTTTGGTGTACATATCGCAGATCAATTCATATTACTGTAATAGTTTGAGTTTGTATTAAAAAACATCACCGTCCCAAGTGAGCGAAAGATTCACAATTTTTGTGGGAGCAGAGCCATTTGACGTTAAGATAGTACAGTGCTTAGCAAAAATATTCATACCTGTAGAGTAGCGTTATCAGTGTAATTGTCACACATTTCATTTTGAAGGAGTGGGATCAAAGATCTGCTGTTGATCTACATTGGGTATGCTGAAACATACCCAAATTAAATCAACATTTTATGGTAGCATCAGATACAATGTTTCGTACTAGATCTTTGCCACACAGATTTAATCAAAGGCAATCAAAGCTAAAATTTGGCAGACATTTTAAAATGTCCTCATGTATGCAAGTATATGAGAGGCTTTATTAAAAACTGAGTTTAAACTGATGCTAATTATTTTCTAATTAAATATTTGTTAAAATTCTAGCATAAGAATTAATTTCATAGGGTAATACTTCAGAGTTATGAAAAACAAGCCACAGACGTGTGGATCTGGCTAAATTACAGCATCTGTCATGCTTACACTCTATAAGCCTGACATTTTGTGGTTTTCAAAAGACTCTTTGGTGTCCCAAATCAATGAAGATAAAAGCCTTTGGTGGCAGCTGCATACCAGCTAAACACTCAAACTGTTGTATCTTGTGTATTGGTGAATTTGATACAATATATTTTCTTAGCACATTTCTTAAAGTCAAAAGAAACTTAATTAATGGAAAAGAATAAATAATAATAAATAAAGAATAATAAATAAATTCAGAGGTCATAAAACAAGATTCCAGGCTTTCAACATATAAAACTGAACTAAATCAGGACAGCTAAAATCATATGCATGTTCTGCTTTTTAGGTTTTTATTTGCCAATATTTTCCCAGATCATTTGTATTATTTCTTCAACTTTACAGTTACGTATTACTTTATCACATAACTACTCATCTCACCCCAACCCTGAAATTTCTGGAAAAAAAAAAATTCTAAAGGGTTGGAATAGATTTGCAAGGCATTGCAATAGACTGGTGAATAGTCTACTGCCTATAAATGTAGTAAGTAACAAAACAAAGCAGAAAAGTAGAGTTAATGTGAACAACAGTTTCAAGCTAGATGTTCAAGGAATAAGAGTCCTCTTATTCTGCCAAATCTGAATTTTACCAAACTACACAGATAATAATTGATTATAATGCTCTCATTAAAAAGTGTTGTCTGTAGCTTCAGTTTGACTGGGGGGAGTGAGAGAAAGTTCAGGAACTGCAAATGTGCTGTTAGTCCTCCATGACTCACATGTCACTCAAACAAGATCTCATAAAACTTACATATATTTAGTGTTCATTTTTCAATAATATCCTATAAACATTAAAAACAATAGATTTCACATTTCATTCTATATGGTATCTGTTGTTAACTCTACGAGTGAAAATCCTGTTGATGCGAAAAGCATCACAACCATGTCTGCTGTTGGTGTTACTGGTGCTAACAAAGTCAGGTGTGATCCTGCATGAATCTCACATTTTTATTTCAGCTTGAAAAGCTAAACTAGCTCATTGGTGCAAAGCAAAAAAAACAGTAGTTTGAAAATGGCATATCACCCTTTCTAACAGCACTGCTGCATTCAGCTATATGTTTCTGACTCTTTTGTGGATAAAACTGCTCATCTAAGTGTTGTTGTAAGAATTGTTTACAACACTTAAAAATGAAAAAAAAAAAAAAAAAGCTCACCTGAGCCTTTAATAAACTATTTGGGAAGACTAGTTGTTTTTTCTTTGATATTCTACTGACCTCCAGGTGAGCTTCTTGGCTGGGGTGGCAGGTAGCGTCGTGGTAAGGCCGGGGTGGAGGGGGGCTGCAGGCTGCTGCTGCGACATGGCGGATCCCTCTGTTGATCTGTTGATGGAGGGCTTGTTGTCACTCTGTGGAGCGGAGGTTCCTCACTCACACTCAGACCTGGAACACATCAAATACAACAGTAGTTCTCTGAGGTTTAATTTTCAATCAAATGTTTAATCTCAAATGAGTTGTTTCTCAAAACCCATCTATCCCAAACTTTCATGAATACAATCTTTTTCCTTGCATGGCTGTGTGACCCTGCTGTTACATCTAAATTTGGACTCACTGGACTGAGAAATGGTCTGTTACTTGAAGGTCTTGCTGCTGCCCTCAATCTTTCTTTTCTAACCTGGATCACAGCATTTCTGCAAAATTGATCAATAATAGCACAGCAGAGTGAGCCAAATAATGACTGGTTCAATTTAAGGCTGCTGCAAAGAACCTTTAAGATTATGATTTAGTCAAGTAGAACAACTTGCTTCTCTCTGTGCCACTAGAAGACTGAAGGTTTGTCTCATGTTATGCCAAATCCCCCTCAGGTTTCTGGGATTAGAATAGCTCACTACAGGGTGCCTCATGTTTTCAGAGCAGTTATGCAAGAGAACATCGCTTCAATCTTCCCATCAACAGAGACAAAAACCTGTACAGAAACATTTCCAAAGTAAGATATAATTCCAAACAAATAATTAAGAAATTCATTATTATTGTAACACTAGCTTCATTGTGCTACTTTTTGAAATGTAAAGAGTGAAAAAGATCTCACAACAGAGCCCTCTGTCCATGCATCACTTCACTGCTTAACTCTAGATACGTCTACATCATTGACTTGATTTTTTTATTGTTGCTTAAGATGATGTATTGTGAATTGCTTCCATATGCTAGGAAGCAAATAAACTAAATTGAACTGAATTAAATGTATTAATCAACATTTTCTCCAAACAATCCTCCTGAATATAACCATAACAAATACAGTTTAACCAAAAAACAAATTAAAAAAAAGTGAGATGTGTTCAAGCAATACGAGGATCACCATTATAAAAATTATTCTGGTGACAGTTGTTTAAAAAAAATGCTTATGTGAACACCATGGTATTGTGCAGAATAAAACCCTTTTAAGTTAACTTCTTAATGACCAAAACTGCACTTTCTGTCATGCATTTATTATTTTAAAATAGGTTAACAAAGCTTTCAGTTTTTGTCCTCATTAATATTATGGTTTAGCACCCATAATCTGGTTGGTGTGCTCAACCAAAGTCATGCTCTAAAATAGCTACAGATAACTCTGGTTTAACTGATGCCTATTTCAAATGGTCATTGGGTGATCAATGACCCAACTAATAGCATTAGTTGCTATTCCATCATATGGGAATTCAGGAATATTAATATCTACTAACGTAAATATTTGATCAAAAGACAGTTGACTGATGCTCTCAAAGGTCTTGCAAACATAGAAATAGCAGAGGAATGCCATAATAAGACTGATGCCTTGGATAAAATAAATTATTTATGATAAAACAGTGATTAACAAAGAGGAAGGGAGAGATTTAAATAAGGAGGAAGCTTATCAAGTAAGTAGACTTTAAAAAAGAGCAATGAAAAGAAATAAATGAATGACAGAGGAAGAGAATGAAGACCCAGGCCTTTTCTGAGAGTGTAGGAAAAATCTTATGCATATTTAACAGAAATTATGAAAATGAGGAAACAGCTGGGGATGAGGTAGGGAGCATTTTTTACACCTCAGCAGGAGGCCATTTTCTAGGAGAAATGTCTTGCACATTCCAGCAAAACTAAATTAATGCTGATTTTTTGTTTGTTTTGTTTTTGTCAAAGTAGATGAATAGATAAAGAAGCAAGATGAAGCTATCCAATCCCACATACAGCCTCACAGTTTGCTTGTAGTGAAAAATACAATTCTGATTATTTAAAGGGATAAGAAATGGCTCTAAAGACTTTCGTTGGACTTAAAATCTCATTTATTTTTGATGAACTCAGCTTAGTTGGAGCCTTCCCCATCAGCAAAAGAAACTCAAATGCTTTCCTAAAGGAACTGATCCTTTCCATCTCAGCTGAATTTACAAAAGCTGCCCTCTCCAGGTGCTCACACAAACACATTAAGTGTTGACAGGGAATAAAGCTGCACAGCTGGCACTGCTGACTTGCCAAAGAAAAAAACATCCTAGTCATCAATGCATTCTCCCTCTGGAAGTAACTAAACATTTCACGCCATAGTATGACCACAAAACTAACTGGTGAAGCTGATGTACACTTTGGTTTGTTTATATTGATTTAGTTTATCTTAACTAGGGAACATAAATCATATTAGAAGTTCTTCAGTGAAATAATCTCAACAAGTGTCTCTGATATTCTCAAATAGTTTAAATCAAAATAACAGTTTCACAACACTAAGTGAGTAAAATTACAAAATATCGGCTTTGTTCTACAATGAAAATGAAAACAACTTCAACATTTGCAAGTTTTCAGGAATTAAAGTTTTGATTGCCTTTAAATATAGGATTTAGCATCTGATGATCTATGGAAATATATTTAAATCATACCTCGTCAGTTGTCTTTTAACTAAGCTACATGTTCCCTCTGACAGATGCACACTACAGTCAGTTTAGTGGATGTGATTAAGTATGAAGAGTAAATCCATCCGAGACTGATGTTTGTTCTGCCTGTCAACTGCTGCTTCCTCTCCTCTGTATGTAGGAAATGTCTGTCACTCTTCCATTGCAACTCAGAATATCCTGTTAAAGCTACTGCTCTGCCTGAAAGATCTTTCACATCTCCACTCTGCTTACACTAAGTACACATTATGATCTCAAGAAAAAAAATAAAGTATGTCTGGCAAGTAAAGGATCCTTTTTCGCAATGTAGAAAAACTTTTCTACACTGTGACATTGAAACAGATGCAGGTAAGTTTTCCTGCATCTGTTTCTAATGTTGCTACATGATATTAGTGATTTTTGTTTCACATGTCGAACACATGTGGAGTAATGTTTCATATATGGAAGACTTTCTATGGGCTGGATATTATGTAATTTCCACATGTAAAATATGCTGCAGGGTCATCTCATGATTTTTAGATGCTGCTTGTATCAATTCAACATGTGAAACACGTGGTAGATCATACATGTGTTTCATCATGTCATTAAAATATTTTAAACGGATTTCAGCCTTTTCCTTATGAATTTGTTGTCACATGTCATTTACACATTCAAACACATGTAAATGCATGCGTGTAAATGCACCTTTTCACAGGTTTCCAGAAAATAGATTTTCCACCTTCATGTGGAGTTTTTAATCAGTTGTGCTATTTTGAGCTTTTATATAAACTGATTTTATTTAAGGAGCTGTGACTTTAAATGGAGAATTTTTTCACTTGAAGCTATTATGAAAAATAAAGGAGTTGTATGGCAAATGACTGTAATTGTCAGCAGAAAAGCCATCATTTAGTAACAATAATAAATAATTTTATTTTTAATTATAGATTATAATTGATTTTAATTAAGATTCTTCTGCTTTGTAAATAAGATCTGTATACAATTTAAGATGTAAGCAAGTGAACCAAAACACATACAAAATCAGGTCTTGTCGCATTTTAAAATGTAAATCAGAGAACACTTAAACAGCACACAATGGACCTGTAACATATAGACAGGGCAGAGAAGGACCTATGGAGATGACCATCTGTTGGCTGCACTGGATATAAAAACCAGCAAGAGCCAGATTCAAGACCACTGAAATGTTAATCTACACACCTCTGAGACGTGATTTACAGACAGCAACATGAAAGATTTATTTTTCTCGTTTTGGTTTACTACCAGCCTGACACACAACAATCATTTCATTGAGGCAACAATCTCATACAAAAGAGCTGAGCACATCCAGGGTGCATTTGTGTTTGTATGGCACTCACTCTTTCCTCACCCAGTATAGATCAGGTCAATTTTCCACTGCAGTTTAGTATGTGATATACATTTGTGCCTGCTGTTTACAGACTTTGTCAGACATTTTCACTCACGGAGAGTAAGTAGAACTGTAGCAAATAAAGGGAAAAAAGCACTGTCACTAAAGCTCAAGACAGATCTATAAAACCTGCATTTTATCATAGAAAAAGATCAAAATATAGCTAGCAAATGTTAAAGAAAGATAATCCAAAAGTGTTAGGAAAAAAAATCCTTAGCATAGCTTATGTTTAATACTTGACTGTCACAGGGTGCACTGCAGGGCCATGTAAACCAGCACTATAAATTGAGTCAAATGAAGAAAAAAAAACACTGCACACTTTAAAAAGTTATGTAAATGCTAAAACTAAAAAGAATTAAAACAATTTTGTTTAAAAGAATGTGGCATTTCTCAATTTTCTATATGATACAATATGATAATTATTGTCTCATAAGTTAAAAAGTACAAAGAATAAAATCGTCAACATATACTAAAAATCAGTAAACAAAAATGTTTTGCAAAAAATCTTAAAAACTTATTACACACATAATCATATTCGTATTTATTAACATTACATGTTTACCCATAGCACATAATGCAGGAAACACTAAAGTTTAGCTGCTATTGAGCAACTAGTTTTTTTCCAACATGAAATGGCTCAGTCATGAAGTCAAGTTAACGGTGAGTTGGATGAAATGCACTTTGAAGATGTCAGTTAACGAATAAGCTCGCTGAGGCCATTTTCCCTGTCAGCTCTGACGCTTTAAGAAGCTTCAGCTATGTTAGTTTTATTCTTCTTATCCACAGAATAGCATCCATATCTAATTGGCCCATCCAATTTGCTGCTCTCTGGGTGAGAACTTGTGTGCATGTGTGCATGCGTGCTTGTGTGTGTGTGCATGCACCACGGAAACCATCTGCTCGCAGTGAGCTGGCATGAGTCTCAGACCAGATCTAAGCCTTGTGTGGCATCTGGGGTTTGACATCCTCTCCATCTACACTCATGATTCTCTTTCCGCTCATTTTCCTCCTCCATCCCATTTTCCCATTCTCTATGCTTGCTGCTCATTTTGACTCATTGGATTAGTGTTTATAGCCACATCACTCTTCACCTTCTTCCTTCTGCTCCCGAGATTCTTTTTGATTTCTTGTGTTATTAGATTATTCTTTTCTTTAAAAAAAAATACAGATAAGAGTGATAGTACTCTATTTTAGGATTTGAGTTTTCAGTCACAGGCTTCATCAGGCTCCTTCTGCTGCATTCACATCTCAGCACCTTATGTTGTCTGGAGTGGAAAACCTGAACCCTGATGCTTCTTCTCTAATACACCAACAAAGACAACCATGCAACAACTGAGGAGGCCTGAGTGACAACCCTAATGCCTGGATTTTGTTAATGGTGTATTGATTTCATATAGAGAAACCTAAAGCTCCCAAGATGCTCAGCTACTCTGCTCTTATTTACAAGACTCTTATATGCAAACAGTTGATAAGAATCAATTAAGGTAATCACTGAAGCTTTAGATCAAAATTACCTTGTTTACATAGGTTTGGGTGTGAAAAATATTTCTAAATTGTTACATTGCCTTGCCAATATGTTTGTATCCCTTGACATTTTTATACTTTGTCAGATTACAGAACAAACCAAGATATATTTTGGTAGGTATTTTGAATGATAAATTCAAAGTAAGCTTCAAAGTGGAAAGAAAACAATACATCGATCCACAGATCTGAGACGAGACTCAGTTAACAGGACGATTTTTAATTAGTGATGTCCCAGTTATAACTTTTGTATTGAAGTGAACAGATAAAAAGCCACTGCTAAAATAAAGCACAAAACAACCATTGTGAGCAAAAAACATATTGTGAACTTCCTAATATAATGGATAAAATTCCTTTTTGCCAAAAGTCTTGTTTTGTTTTTGCCTAAAACATATTTTGGAAAGAGATGTTTATTTATTTATTTTTCCAAAAATCACATTAGCCAAAAATTACTTAGGCTATTATTTTAAGAAGGTGATTATATGGAAAAAGGGGAATGTTACACCAAAATGCATGTTTTTGGCCAAAGTGCAAAATACAATATGTGGCAAAATACTTACATCACCCATAGCAAACCATTCTAACAGTATTAAAGAGCTTTTCTTCAGTAGATGCTGGTCACAATAAACAGGAAGATGAATGGAGCTAAATATAGATCAGTCCAGGATCAAAAACAGATGGAGGGTGCTTGAGACTCGGGCATATGCTCACCTTCCACTTGGATACAAACCTGAAACCTACATCCAAAGCTTCAGATCTAAACAAACATACAGCATACTCATGAGTTACAATATAACTGGGAAAGGCAAAACTTTACAACTGATGTTTCACATAAAAGAAAAATATCCAAAGATTCAAATCTTAAGATGTGCAGTGGTAATAGAAAGATTGCACTGAGAGACTTGCAGCTATAACTTCGGCGATATATGTTTCTGCAAAATATTGATTCGGGGGACTGAGTACAAATTAACTCCTTACTATCCAGAAGTTCATTTGTAAAGGTTTTAAAACAATTTATTATGATCATTCTGTTTCACTATTATATGCTATGTTATGTTCATCTGTCATAAATTCCAATAAAACACCTTAAAGTTTTCAGATGTGTGTCAAAAAACACTTAGCAAGATGTTGTACTCATGAATACAAATTATTTTTCATCTGATTTTTATTATTTTGTGTAGACTCTAATTAATCTATCACATCTGAAAAATGCACATCCTCATCCACTGGTTAGAGCAGTCTGATACTCAAGTGTTTCACTTTTCTGACCTCCTTTACTGAAGAGCTAAAACTCCCCTCGTTATTTTGCCTATATCTTTAATGATTTATTTGGTCTGCATCCTCCAGAGAGCTACATTTCCATGTTCAGTTTGGGAATCAATGGGGAAAAGGAGCAACCGAGCACAGGCTCTACTCTTACTGCACAAACGGGAAGTGTATGGCTTCACCAACTCCCATGATATCCATGAATGAAGAGTGTATAAAACCTCAGCTGTCAGCATGGATGTGCTTTGATTCAAGTTGAAGTATAGAAACTCGGAGGAAAAAATACCCGAGACATAACAAGCCTACATTCTTTGGAGGAAAAAGATATAAAGATATAATATATGAAAAGTGTTTGGAACTGTTGAGAGGTACTGGGATTTAAATACACAGTTATGTGATCAAATGAACAGAACTAGAAATCTGAAACACAGAGTGGTTCAACTGTAAATTCATGCCAATTACATCAAGTGTTCAAAATCAACAAAAGTTGAATGTTGCTTTAGATTTCAGTCGAATGCTGCTTTAGGTTTCAGTGATCAAACTCTCAACGACAACGTGTAAAACTGTTGAATCCAGGTCCAAAAAATAGAGAAACTACTATAATCATAAAACTTCCCAGTATAAAAACATGAAAAAGACATAAGACACCCATTTATGTTACGCAGAAAGATTGGAAGAATGAGTCTGGCTCACTTTAAACCTAAATAGAGAAAAGAGTTCAAACACTTCCGAAACAAGGGTCATGTAAAACACACACAATCAAAATCAAAAGCAAACCCACCCACATTCTCATCAAAGGCCCCCAATATTTTTCCTGTCATGACTGTCATCCTTGATCTTCTTTTATCTCCTCCCAAGCTTCTGTAGTTCATTGCAAATTGCAGAGTCTGGTGCAGATGCAGCTTTTGAGATTTTCTTATGTTCAAAAGTTTATATGTGCAATAATAAACAATACTGTTGTTTAAAGGCAGAAATAACCAACTAAACATGAACACTTCCTTCCAGACAGTGTCAAAGAAAAATTTAATGAGTCATTCTCTCAAATTAAGCAAATAGTACAGATGCCCATGTGAAGAGAAAGAAACACGGTTAAATGAGTACAGCTTTAAGTGCAATGCTGTAATGAGAAACTCAGATCAAGACAAACTGAAACTGAAGGGGAAAATCTAAAGAAATCTTAAACATTCCCTCAGCACACAAATCCATGTGTATTATGTTTATTATTTTTTAAATGATTGTGCTTCTGTCTCTATGTGAACCTCCTAGCTCAACAAAGAAGCTTTCTTGTAGAAAAGAAACTCTTACGTCTTCTGAAGGAGATCACCATGCTGATTTAAGTGAATATGTAAGAGGATGAACTCTTTTTTCTTTTTTGTTTTTTAATTAGAGAAAAAAAAATCATGAAAACGTTATGCTTGAAAGGGAGGAAGAGAGGAAAGGGGGAATGACATAACAGGGGGCCTGATGTGTGTGAGCTGCGAACGCAGGCGCTTACGTCAACTGTCACTGGGAGAAGAGTAGCAAGCCTTCTTATGTAGGTCACATTAAATAGACAAGCTGCTACCTCAAAACTCAGCCAAGTAACCGAGCAGCCCTGACATCACAACTGGAAAAACTCAGTTTCACACCATGAATTGAAAAAAATTACACAGTTCATCCAGCAGCAAGTTTGATATAATCTTATCATTCTGATTGCTCACAGAATCTGTGGCACAGACCTTGTTTGGAGCTTTCTGAATCACGATAATCTTTAAATTACTGCTACTGTTTTCATTTGAAACAGTTTGTGTAATACTTTAATCTGGAACGTGCAGCATCCATCCCATCTAAGATCGAATGACTCACCACAACTCAAGACCAAAGCAAGATGTTAGTGGCATTTTTTAAACATGGTTGTGTCAGAATCGTGGTGTGGGCGGTTCTGAAAACTTGATAGCAAATGTAGAACATAAAACATACTGCGTGTTTATAGATAATAAACATTCAAAGATGCTATTTGTATGATTTGACTCAACATAAGTCATTTGCAGAGTTTACAAATGAGTTATAGATTACAAAAGAAGATTGTCAAGATGAACAAGTCTGGGAGATATGTATTATCAGAAGATTTGTAATGAAAGGTGGTAAAAGGTATCGATTTAGGGTAATGGGATAGAGATTCATATTTAAGATTTGAATTTTCTGCCACTTCAGTACTATGTGTTATTTTGTACTGGTATAAAATGAGTTGAAAATAAAATGATTTTCTATAAAGCATTGTAAATTGAAGCAACAAAAAATAGAGCTAATGCTTTGATTAAGATGTTCATTGAAAAAAATAATGTTAAGTTTCACAAATGCAAATTTCACACTTGGTAAAAAAAATAGCATCATTATTTTTGTTTAGAGGGAACTCACGGTGTGCTGTCCTGCAGGGATCACTCTGCACACTGTCAGCGGAGTGGGCTGAGGACGCTGAGGAGACGCTGGAACTCCTGACGAAACCAAAGGCTGCCAGGCGGCTTGCCGGGAGACGGTTGGAGGAGAAACCTGGAGCCCGCAACCCAGACTGACTGACTTTGGGAAGCAGAGATCTGGAGGCTGTGGACGGGGGTTGGGACAATGGTGTGGAAGCAGGAGGAGCTGCAGGAGCTTGATGGCTGAAAACCTGGTCATCTAGTGATGAAACAGCAATTTGACATTGAATTGTTTATCAGTCTTTAGAAAGACTGCATTGTTCAAGAGGCAAGATGTAAATAAATATGGCAGTTGTTTAATTTTATTTGGAAAACAAGGTACACCCATGCTGGATCACTCATCATGAGTTGTTGACAAAGCTCTCTCAGTAGGAGCATAAAGTTTACTTTGTGGTGACTCTGGTTGTTCCAGCAAGCAAACATAATAACTTCATACAATTAAACTGCAAATAGCTGTTTGGCTCTGCCTGTGCTAACAGACTGGACTAATGGCCAAAATGTTTTCTAATGAAGTTATGATATTTAATTTAACACCTACAAAACAGCACAGGGGATGTTTTTTTTCCTGATACAGTGCTTTAAAAAGCAAACTTTTTTTTTATACAAATACAAAGCTGAAGGGGTGATGTGCCTTTAGTGCCCCTCAAACAAGACTTTATAATGACATAACAGGGGGCCTTAGCTGTAATTCTCATGAAGCAAGATCGCCTTACAGGGAAGCAGAGTAAATATCACAAACATTTCACAAATACACTAATAAGGTGAAGGTAGTGAAGGTCACTACATTCCTCAAGACATTTGGTGAGACATTTCTGCCTAATCAGCCAACATTAAGGCAAAGTATTTTTATGAGTTATATATCAGGTCCATGAAGTGATTTGTGGAAACCAAGGATCTGACGAGCGCTAAATCTCTCGTGTATGAAGTGTTTCATATGAGTCTGTAAAGGAACTTTGAGGGGTGCAATTCTTTTATCATCATTTAGCCAATATCCCTTTGACTAAATGATGATTTTCTGCTCTTTGTTGGGTGTCAATGTTAATTTTTGGCACAATATAAAATTTTAATCATTATGTTTTTTTGTTTTGTTTTTATTGTATAAATATTGTCAACAGTCCTGCTGCTCTAATCTGTCCCAAATTTGTGGAGGATGCAGCAATAATCTGTGGCACCATTTCTTCCATCGTACAAGTTACTATTAAAAAGCAGCGGGTTATAGTCCTGCCTGTATGGATTCTATTGTCTCTCACAGCAAAATAAAAATTACGATGTGCAGACATTAACAATTTAAGCTTCGTACAGAGACACACAGCATTCAGTGGTCAAATCTCAAGACTTTGGATAAAAACCCCATTGTGGCTTCCATGGTCTGCAAAAACAAGGTCAAGATCCTGCACTGAAGAAGAGCATTATCGCCTGCTGGCTACAGAGATAAGGTACGCAACCCTCCTTTCCTTTCCATTTGGCACAGCTGTGTGCTTCAGCGGAGCCCAGAGGATAACTACGACATCAGAAGAAAAAACATGTTTCACAGGGAGAAACAGATGCCTGATGTTAGAGAAAGGAAAAAGTAGAATGGGAACAAAATGGAAAAGTCCACCCCCTCCAGCATTATTTGAGATGCAACTCATGCTTATCACATATTTCTTCCACCACTAATATCTATGTGCCATGTAGCCTACTTATGATTTTGGAGATTCTTCCTCTTGAGTGAGAGGAACCATTAAGAATAAATGTGTTGATTTGCATCCTGTCCTTCTCAACCCCCACTCCTTATCCTATTCATCACCTCTGAGAGACCAGGAGGAGAAATTATAAATTAGTATAACAAACATACACTTATCCCTGATTTAAATAGCTTCTTTTGCTTACTTTTTAATTTTGGATCTATGTTCTATTTCTGTTCCTAACAGAGAATTCCTTCTACAATTCAATTCAAACTTAAAAATGCAGAATGTATCATAAATCTTTTGAATAAAGCCAAAGTGTGCTACGGTCTTTGAGTGAAGCAAGGCCATTGCCACTTTGGATAAATTATGTAAATAAGGCCAGGAAAAATCAATAGGACATGCAGCTGGCGCAAGCACTAATGATTTTAATCACAGTCCAAAGTGAGAGGCGACAGTGTGTATAGATTTCCACCTCCAGGCTTTAAGCTGCATGTTATTAAATGTAATACTTGTTTGCAGTCTAGTCCCAGCAGCGCTACTGAAAGGAAGCATGGAGAAGCATGTGTGAGGGAATCCACTTGCAGTAATGGTTCATTGAATTTCACTGCCTTACCTTATAAGTGGGCTTTGCTCATTACTTTAGACTATGCACTTCAATCATGTGACCCAACTGTCACAAACTATATAATTGCTATAATTAGTAGGAGTCAGACATTTTCATTTACAAAATACCGAAAAAGTCATAATTGAAATTAGTGCAGAAGAATAAAAGGACTAACACGGGTACAGAGAATGGATGGCTGAAGGGAACTATGTGGAAAATGATACATGCTTTTTCAATTTTTCATAGATACAAAATATGAATTATAAGTATTTGAATTCTGCCCTTTTTCCCCATCTGACTTAGATTGAGTTATTTTGAACTGAATGACTAATGAAATGAAAGAATGACTAAAGTGATTCAACCTGCAGGTGTTCGAAGATGGTGGTGACACACCACAAAGCAATAGCAGGAAAAATCAATTCTAAAAAAAAGCATTGATTCAGGGGAGCTGAATGTAAATGCATGTCACACATTTCAGATTTCAACTGGCAGTACGAATTGACAATCATTTACCATTTTTCTTTCACTTTACAACAATGCAATCTTTAACTGGGTGTATAGCATCAAATCCCAGTAAACTAATTTAAATTTGTGGTAGTGATGTGACAAAATGTCCAAATAGTATTAATACCTTTGCAAGACACTGTACTCAAAGCAGACAAATGTTCTGTGTCAACATTTAATCTGGTTTTTATCAAATCTAGTGTGCATAAGCTAAGAAAAATTCCAGTGAACAGTCTCTGCAGAATGATATGCCTGAGATATGCATTAGTAAGAAATATGGTAAGATGAACCATAAAATATGGTAAGATGGTAAGATGAACTGATAAATTTTTCACTTTATGTCTAAGCTATTACTAAGGGAAAAAGCGAATGAAACTCACCATGTAAGCAAAGAATGAAAGACCCTTCCAGAAGAATGAGAAAATGCCATACTTCAATATTTTATTGACAGATGAGCTGAAGTAGAAATCTGATTACAGCAGTCAGAGGCGCTATCTGTTTCATAGAAATTAGAAATTCGCTGAGGAGAAGATGTGAGTGACTTATAATTTATTTATTATTTTTATATTTCAGTTTGTAGATTGCTGCCTTCTGGTGCAGAATGCATCCCCTCCTACAGCCATCCAATCAGGACTGCCAAAATTAATCTCAGAGAGAATGCATTTTAATGAACCGCCTTCATCTCAAGCCAGACTGAGAAATGCACAGGTCCCACAACTGTTAGCTGTTGCAAGGCAGCAGGAAGACCAGGCTGTACTCTAGTTAGTCAAAATGTGGGCTGATGACGTCATTTTCAGTTGTCATTCCAAAGGTGAACGTGTTGAGTATCCTACCTGTGTTATCTTGGCTTTCCTGGCTGATCGCTGGGCTAACGGTTTGGATTGGCTGGCTGAAGACCGACGCCGACCTCTGTCCTTGACTGGGACCACGGGTCTTTACGGAACCCGCAGTTGTTCTGGTGACGGCTCCAAGACCCAAACGGAGGCCTCTGCCCGAACGAATGAGACTTCCACTTCCTCCGACCTGTGTAACTGTCCTGCCCTGCAATGCATCTTCGGAGGAGATGCCTTTTAAACTGTTGGATCGCCCCACCTAAAAATCAGAATCACTACATTTATTGAAAGGATTGAAGTGACAGATTCATTACATTTCCTGACTTCCGCAGCACATATTCTAAAAAGAATTGCATTACATTTGCAGAAGAAACAGCCTGTTTTCCCTTCTTATGTTTGGAAATGAATCAATGGGGACAAACCTTTCATACACACATTGCGCTGAGAGTTAGTGCCAGATAAAGCTATTTAACACAAATTTTAAAAAATGGTAATGTTAAGGCGATAATGATCAGCGCTTGGACTTTGAAAAAGATACACATTATCAACTATGTGTCAGCAATACATTCATAGTAAATAAAATTTGCCAAATATGCCAATCATGGCACATAACATTTTTTTTAATTATTTAATGGCAAAAGGTGCTATAGAAAAGAATAGAAAAAAATCTTTATTGTCTGCTTAGGAAAAACTGCCTTTGGCTCAGCAGTACACAAAACAAACTGAGAAGAAAATTACAAATGATAAGACAAAAAACAAAAGCAAACAAAAAGATATGTTGATCAAAAATGTATTTAAAATGTATTAGCTGCTATAAAACATCATATTCAGAAAGTTTAATTAACTTCAAATTTCTGTATCAAAAAGTTATTTTTTTATTGGGCTGATGTAATATTCTAATCTTAAATGTGTTTTTATTAACTATTGAAAAAAATCCTCATAAAATTAACAATAAAGGCTTGAAAACACCAGTCTGACTTTTTCTTAAATATTCCAACTTATTCCATATTAAGTTGGAATTTAGTTACTGTGATTTAGTTACTGTGGACAAATCACTGCAGCAAATTGAGAAGAGATACTTGAATATAAATCTCAGTGCAAAGATATAGAGTTGATCGCATATATCTAACTCACCTCAGATGATGTCCCATAGAAGTTCTCCACCCTGCCGCTCAGTTTCGGGGATGCATTGTGGCTGTGTGCATGTGCTGGGGGAACTGTGTTTGTGTTTCCAGGAGTCCTAATGCTCCTGTTTTGCAGCCCTGGTGGGAAACTGTTCACCTGCATCTCTTGGCGATATTTATCGTAGAGTGGGTTGGAGGCACTAAGTACAGGGGTTCCTCGGGTTTCAGCGTCAGGGTTTCTGCGCAGGTCTTTAGATGGATCCTTAAAGGCCGCTGGTGGTTGGCTGTTAGTGTAATTCGAGAGTCTGGATGGCAGAGATGAGACCTGATATGGTCCATCAGCAGCCTGGAGTTTAAACTGAGGATTTTTTCGAACAGACGTTATGATCTTGGGGCGGATTCCTTTAGGTTTAAGTTTAGGTGATGGAGAGTTCTCTTTAGGGTTAGAGTTAGAGGAGCTCTGCTGGATGTTAAGAGGCGCTTTTGGGATTCCACTTGTGCTTATGTTTGCTTTCACTGGAGCTCTCAAACAACTGTTGCCATAGCCCTGAGCTGAGGTTGGTACAGCTGGGTTGCATCCTGATGGGATGTGCCTAGAAGCTCCAGAGACATTCCTGGAAATGAGGTACATAGAGGGCTGCCTCCGTGGTGAGCCCTGTGGTGTCCTGAGAGGGGATTGAGGCGGGGTAGATGACCTGGATTCAACTCCAGTCTTGTTGGGACTGGAGCAGTTCCTTCGATAAGTGAGGTGAGCCTGAGGTTTGTTTTCCAGAGTGGGTGTGTTGGAGGGACCAGAAAGATGTTGTGTAGTTGTAGTTGCCTGTTTTTCCATGGGTGGAACCTCCCTATGGGATGCCTGGTTAGTCTGTCTTAGCTGGGAGATAACACTCATGTTGTAAAGGTGGGAGAAGTCTGATGGTTCCCTTAAAGCAGATTTTGTAAACTTTCTGCTTGACCTGCTGCTGTGTGACTCTGGTGATGCGTTGTTGGAGGAATGCAGCACTGTTCCAGTTTGTTGAGTTTTAGGCTCTGGCAAGTTCCTGTCTCTTATCATCTCTGACTGGCAGAGGGGTCTGACAAGTTGTTGGCGTCGAGGCGGCAGCACCCTCTCCTCAAATCCAGTCTTTCTCCTTTGGCCCAACGCTCCATCAGAAGACCTTCCATTTCTATGATGACTCCTTTCCTCCAGTCTCTGTTCCTGGCAATAGTATTGTTGACAGTCGTAACTCTCTTGAGGACGAAATGGTGGGGAGTTCTGATTGGTGTCTAGGGAAGCTGCCCTTCTGCTGGTCTGGGCTGAGGTAGTATAATTGGTGTTGGGAAAAAGGTTTGTCTTGGGGTGGGGTAGGGAAATAAGAGATGCTTCACCGCTGGAATCCAGAGCACTAGACAGACTTCCACCAAGAGCAACAGCTGACAGACTGGAAACAAATACATTTGTCTCAGACTTGGATTCTTTCAGACCCCCTGTCCGTCTATCCCTGCCTGTTCTGGTGTCTCTTTTCTCGACTGAGCCTGTCACATATGTATCCAGCTCTTCAGTACTGTGACAGGCAATGCGTTTGTCTTTGCTCCTCTGTATTCTGCTCTCTTCTCTGTTGTGGTCGTAGTTTCGTCTGACACCGGTTGAAGTAGAACTGGCTGTGGAACTTGAGGATATGGACATGGGACCCTCATCCTTACCATCTCTCGTGCTTTCTCCATCATCTTCCTCTTCGTTATGCTCCTCCTGACTTTGGTTTCCTAAAAATGTGTGGATTTCAAATTCTCTGAGCTCAGGCTCCATACATTGCTGTTCAGATCCCCAGATTACAATTTTGTCTGGAGAGTCACTCTGACGAACCAGTGGAGGAATAGAGCTTGTGTTGTACCCTGTAACCTCAACCAGACCCCCACCTTCTTGGTCAGTGGCTGAAGTTATTTGATTGGCGTTATCATCTCCTGATGGGGTGAAATGGGTTTTATTTCCAATCTTCTCTCCTCTATCAACACTGACCCTCAATCCATGAAAATTAGTTGGAATGCTCATCTTTGACTTTTTTATTAAACACGTTCAGGGGTTGAGGCCATTTACAGAGTTTTAAGAGTTACTTTAATTTTTGCTCTTCCTGATCAGGGTCAGTGTTTTTAGAGTCATTTGGCAGAATTATCCAGGAGTTGGTTATCATCTCAGGAAGTCTCTCTCTTTCTTTAAGGTTGCCACACAACTTGCATTTAGATTGAGTTATTTAAGTGATGTTAATGGGTTTAAGTGAAGATAGAAGTTTGATAAATCTGGAAGAAGAAACACAAAGGAAACTATTAGAAAGAGCAAATAAGTTCATAAAATTCAACCACTTCTGATAAAATCATCAGATTTTGTCCCTACAGAGTTCCAGAAATAGTTTTTTTGTCCCCAGTGCATCTTTAGAATAGCAGCTGTTAATTTGCCCACAGTCCTATTTTCTTTATATTTGTAAGTTATATCTTTAGAGGGTTCTTTGACACAAAACTTCTCCACCCAAGGGGAGTGGAGAATGTGGGGAGTCATCAATCAATGTGTCCATAAATGTATAAAGAAATAAAATCAGAACTTCACCATAAACACAGTTTTTGTAGAAATGATTACTTCACTGCAACACTTGTATTTGATATGGCAACTACAGAGTTGATCAACAGTAATAGTAGTTAAATTCAATCATACTTGAAAAGTGTGGAAAAGGTTTCTATCAGACTAATTGTATCATTTATACAATTTACATTAAATCAAATCTTGATGTCAGTATAAAATACACAGTAACACAATACATTCAAGGAGAAATTATGTTTCTGTATAAATATACATGTACCCATTTATACAATAAATCCAAAGAAAGATAGTGTTTATCTAGAGAATTCATGAATATTTTATATTAGTAAAATCAATACTTTGTGGTGGGGTTGGTGACTTAGGATAGCTTCTAAAGAAAATGGCACCAAAGGTAACCTCTTTGGGATGAATGAAGGTCAGCACATCAGACAGGTGTCAATGCCTATGCATGATACAACACCTTCAAAACAAAAAACCTTATCCATGCTATGAACACAGAAATCAAATACTATGTATATATTGTCTGAATCAGAAGTGGTACCAGGAGGTCTATGTTTTGCACCACAAATTGCATAGAATAATGGAAAATGACAAAATGTTATGGCTACAGAACAATATCTCTTTCATATGGATTCTTCTTCTCCCTTGAGCTGAGTAATCCTGCATACAATATACAAAGACGGTGCAAAAAAGTAAGTAAAAATACAGCAGCGCTGGGAAAGCCATTTAGTTTCAATCTTAACATGAGTTATAGCATGTTATGCCTCTTAGTGTGTAATTTTTTATGAGCAGTGGGGCTGTGGGAGCAGAAAGAGCCATGTGAGTTGAATATGAGCACAGTGTCTGTGCTTGAATTTAATGAAAGGATTGAGTAGGCAATGGGTGACTTCGGAAGGATGTATTGTCTGTATCATCCAATACAGATTTTTCCGAAGGAGTGAGAAAGTTCTGGCACAACAATAATGCCAATGTTGTGGGTTTATTTTTGTTATTTTTTTGTTGCAGACATTTAGTAATATCTTAAATTAAGATACACAATTACTGGCCACATACAATTTTCTTTGAACACAGGCTGCATCTGTGTAATTTTATTGTCTTCTTTAACAATTCCACTGAAACAAATATGGTAAAAGCATTTTTTAGTGCAGGATGAATCATACGTATACTGAAATGCAAAAAAAAGAAAAACTCACACATACAGAATAAATTTGACACTTTTATGCTATTCCAATTTCATGTGTGGTTATTAAAACGCGGCCTGCTGATGGATCCAGATGTTTTACATCTTTATCAAATCGTATAAAACATATTGGTTTATGTTCTTTTTTTTTCCTCCATCAACTGTCCTTGTACACCACATCATGCATCTTCCTTCACTTTCCATTCTGTTTGCATCATTTCAGAAATTCAAGTTGAGCCCTCACCTAATTATTTTTCCAGCAGAGGTGTCTGTTCTCATCAGCAGGTCCTTTTTTCATGTATCTGATAGCAGGCATTTTAGCGAAATCACTGCTAAGATGGCAGCTCACTCTGCCTCTGGCTTATTTGCAAATTTTTTCCAAATACACAAGAAAGGAAAGCATCAAATAGAATATGTTTTCCTGATGGTCAGTTGGTTATGTGAATTTGGTACTGAGCAAAGAACGATCTATTTGAAAAAGACAAGAAAAAGTGCAAGTTCTTTTATTATGTGGAAAGATTGCAGTTATTTTTTTGACTTCTCTGTAGTTTTCTGTTTTGCTTCAAAAAGAGAAATAGAAACCTAATTTGTGTTACATACAAATAACAACAACAGGCAATCTGCCCACTGTTTGTCCCACTTTGCTCCTGTGTATGTTGCTCTCTATCAAATAATTAGCTGGTTACAAAACACACATGGAAAACTCAAAGTGGTAGGGAAAGGAGGAGGAGGCTGAATTCTCCGAGAGGACATGGTGCCAGATTGATTACAGCGCTGATGTACCACCGAAGCGTGTGCTGATGACAGCAATCTGAGGGAGGCTGAGTGCTCTGCTCAGTCGCAGCTCCAGTACCTCAATAAACTGCATTTCAACAAACAACCAGGCTGACAAAAGGCCAATTTGGTATAAAACAGAAGAGTGTGGAGAATTGATGAACAAGTCTGACAATTTGAATAAAAATATTTATTTCAGTGCAATACATTAAATAAAAAATGTGAGAAAAATAAAAACATTTGGCTCTCTTTCTTTGTTTTGACATAAAGAATACAGTTTATAAGGCAACTTGGGCATATGTGCTAAGTAGGAGCCAAAATGTTTTTTTCTTTCTGTGTAAACAGGGATGGTACCAAATTTTGCAGAACGTAGCCCATGTCATGCATGATGAAAGCATGACCCAGGAGGAGCTGGTACTTTGATGTTAAGTTCTGTTGCAGATTTTGGAACATAACTTTTATGTTTTTAAACAAACCCAATTAAGTCGCTCATGACATGAACCAGATCTTAACATAATGTGAGCTGAAAATGTAAAAGAACCGAGAAAAGACCCATCTTAATTTGACTATCAGGATTCAGTCTGAGTGGGTGAGAGACTGAGACATAATCTGACGTGGGAGGGATCAGACTTGCACATCGGTGAAAGAAGAATGTTGCTGAAGATTTCTGATTAGGCTGACGGTGGGGAACGTGTAATGAGAATCACTATATGAGCTTTACGGCCCCGTTTATAATGTGACTTACCGACTCAAACCCAAGAGAGGAGAGCAGAGCCATTATTGGAAATCCCTGACCACAAATAAGGCTCATTAGTAATGAATTGCTCACACTGATGAACATGGGAACCTGTACTTCCGCTTTAATAAAATTCTTCTCTCCAGACAGACATAAGTGAATCTCAAGATATAAGCACTGATAGAGAGTATAGGAGACTGCCAAAGCATTTTTTTCATTTATTTTAAACTACTGGCAAAATTATGGCGTAATCAAATGCAGTTTGAAGGAACAGGAAATTAATGATTAGTTAATGAGGTTTTTTTAACCATGGACAAATCTCCTAACTTACTGAATTTGTTTAATTAAAAAAAAAAAAAATATGATGTAAAATGGATGTTCCTGAGTGCCTTGTAAAAGTATTCATATCCAATGAACAATTTATTTCTATTTTGTCTGGTTGCTATCACTAAATCCAGTAACTTTAAGGGGTATAGAGCAACAGAACTGAGTTCATAACTGTGAATTGAAAGGATGTATTGTTTTTATTTTTTACAAATTAACCTCTTGAATTTGTCATTTAATTTTAATAAAATCCAGTGCAACCTCTTAATCATTTTTGATCTCAGTTTAAATACAGCTGTTCACAGCAGCCAGGTCAAAGACAGTGCTGTGGAGAAGTTTAAAGCAGGGTTAGGTTAGAAAACAATCTAAACCTTCAATACACCAAAATGGTGGCAACATTATGCTGTGGAAATGCTTTTCTTAAGAATTTATTTAATGCCACAATAAATATGACTTACTTCATGTCTGACAATCCCAATAAAATACAAGTTTGATGCTGTCAACTGACGAAATATGAAAAAGATCAAGTGGTATGAAAACTTGCATGAGACAGTAGAAAGATGCTTGTGTGATCTGGCATGTTTTAAATCATTTCTTTCTTTCCTTTGCACAGAGGTTGTTCTGAGAAAAACAGTTTACAGTTAAGAAAAGGTAAATCAAAGCGAAGTGGCAAATGTTCGCATTGTTTTATCTAAAAATCCAAAAATTCTTTGAATTGAGCGTTGCGCTCACTTTCTTATTTTGTTATTTTGCAGCATTTGTTTCCATTTTCAGACACACACACACAACCTCTGAAACAATACAAAGCCAATCGAATGCTAAGGCACACACTCATGCCCGACATGCATTTCCTCGGCATCTTTGTTGTTCGTCCAGCAGCACAAGCTGCCATTTGTCTTTGGCACTTTGCTTTACTCCTCCCCCCACTGGCTAGCAGACAGGTTTTATAGCTCTGTGGTCCCCAAGGGGGACACCAGCAACACTCTCACACATATATTCCCATCTCTTTCATCCACACTTGTGTTGAGATGTGAATTCCAGCACTTAAAATAGAAACAAACGAGACGGCACAGAACAATGACGTCTGTTTGTGTGTATCACCATAAATCGTGACTCCTGAATATTTATACATGACATAATCTGATTTAGCACCTGGTTTGCATTAAAACTGGCTGTCCAGAAAGGTGAAACTTTGTTCAATGCACTTAATGTTTTATTTATTGCATAGTGGTAGTAAATCTAATACTTTGCTGCTTAGCACATTAAAACAGACATAACAAACAAAAACAGAACATTCCATGAAAGTCATCCAACAGGTAACAGCTCAGACAATCCTCAGACAATCGTTGCCTGCTCCTCCTATATGTGCTTGCAGCACAATACAGGCAGAAATAGCAGTGGAATGGGCTAAATGCTTCATTATCACGGTGCACAATAGACACCCCGTTTGCAGAATCTCACAAGACGATTCACTGCAGTGTTGCTGAGCGTTAAGTCAAGGGATAACTCCTGGGATTTACCATCTCATACAAAAAAGAAGCAAAACAGCGCAGGAAACGACATATAAATAGTCTTGCAGCTTTTCTCTTTATTGATTTGAACTGGTTTTCCTTTTCTGCATCAAAAACAACAAATGTTCCACTTTGCTTCTGTAGTCTGTGGTTCACACCATATTCAGACAAGCTTTGTCC